CAAAGAACGAAGACCCAAAACAGTCACAAGTCTCTTGGGAAAATGCTGCTGTTAACAACATCCATGAGCAATACGACCGTCTTGTTTAGCATCTTCGCATTGGAGATATAAAAGCTGACAGTTCGAAAGTCGTCAACAGACGTGTGTCTTCAGAAATATTTGAACCGATACGCCAACGTGGAATCGCGCAGACAGTAGGTAATCGCCAGCTCACGTCCGTAGTCGCGAAACAGTGCAGACAGGCGACAAAAGGAGATCTTAAAGAGAGAAGAGCAGTGGTTATGGTCGAAGCTGCAGCGACTGGAAAATGCATTCCCAGTGCCATTTTAGACGCACAGATGAGACAGTTACAGCTTCCAGAAAGGTAATGGAGAAAATCATTCACGACTATCCCTTGGATCTGTTCAATAACCACGTCCTCGTTCCATGATATGAAATAAGGGAGCATGGATATGCTGTAGCAAGTGCTTTCCTTCCGAAATCCGACATACTGTTTCGTCGGTGAAGAATCGAACAATCCACAAACCGTTATCAAGGCAATTGTCCGGCTCCTCACACGCTACCTATCAGAACGAAAGGCTCTTATTCAGTGAAAGGCCGAAAAGACAGTGTTATTATTCAAGGATCGTGACCACCACGATATCGGCAACTATCGCCCAATCTGCTTGCTCTCTTCCCCTCTACAAACTTTTCACTCGAGTCATCTAAATGGGATTGACTGAACACTAGGCGAAGGACAACCATGTGAGAAAGCAGAGTCTCGAAAAGGATTCAGTACAACGGACCAAATGCACACCAGAGCTCACTGAAGTATCGCAAGAGCACAAAAGACCGCTCTGTCACACTTTCATCCACGTAAAGAAAACTTTTCACTCAGTTGAGATAGAAGCAGTCATGGAAGCCCTGGACAACCCGAGATTCCCTACTCAGTATATAAAGATTCTTCGCGAGCTGTATAAAACTTTTATAACAAATATCAACATTCTATAGTGATATTAAGGTTGACGAGAGAGGAGGTTAGATGTGGCGACATTTCCCCACCAAAATTGTTTGCGGGCACCTGGAATGGGCCAAAATGGAAGTGAAAATCGATGGCTGGCAATTACACTATCTTCGTTTTGTTGATGATGTCGTTCTTGTAACACCAAACATTAGCCTAGTGCGATAAATGTTCGTCGACTTTGACTGAACCTATGGAAAGTTTGGTCTACGATTTGATCACACGAAAAAGGTTGTTCATGAGGAACGAGCTGATTTCGTATGCCCCATTTACACAACGGATTATATCTACAAATATTCCAGCTATGCCTACCTAGGTCGTGAAATCAACATGATGAACTCAACTACTTAGCTGCAGAGTTCAATATTATTACGAATGTAGTGAGGAGAACGAAGAACACTCGTCCCGACTTTCTGCCCACCTTTTTGGCCGCACGATTCTCCTTACCTTAACGTATGAGTCAGAAACCTGGTCGCTACATAATCAGGATGGAAGATCATTCAGCGTTACTGAACGCGCAATGGAAGGAACGATGCTAGGAGTTCCCATTGCACACAACTTAGAGAAGAGGTAGAACCTCTGATCTGCATCAACGATCAAAAACAAAAGATGCCGTTCTATGCGCCAAACAATTGGAGATATAGTGGGATGGACATATGCGTATGAACGACAACCGATGGACAAAATCCTTCAGTGATTGCATTCCTCGAAACATCAAAAGTACTGCAGGAAGACCAGACATTTGTCAGAGTGCTTGACAGAAATTCTAGAAGAAAGATATGAAGCTCACTGAGTCCCTAGATCGAATAAAATCCAATGGGCTACTCTTGTACGTGAAGGGGAGAAATGGAAGGTTTTCCGGCGTCCGCTTTTAACGCAAAGACAGGTGATGGAAATGATACACTTAAACAGATCCCTGAAAGGTCTAGCACGAATTTCCCAATTACGTAGGGGTGAATGGCTTGGTAAGTCTGCTGCAGAGTCGAACCAGCACCTTATTCGTGATGGACGGCCTCACTACGACTGCGTTGTCCGCGCCACATAGTAAACTTTGCTAAGTAAAACAAAGACCATTTATAGCCTAGACATCTTTGCAACATAATGCACACTTCCTTGTCTGTGATTCACAGCGAAATCCAGCGTTATGGAGTTCAGAAGATGTTCTTTTTTCGATTTTTTAAAAATCGAGACTCGTATCTCGTAGAGGCAAACAAACGGTTGAAAAGGCGAGATATCGTTCAAAACGATGCAGTGGTGTCTACCAAATGCGTCATAGCATACCGTACTCTCATTAAAGAAACGATTTTTATGCAGTAATATTTGATCACTTTTTAAATAGAAAACTGCACAAATAAAAGTTTTAAATAGGAAGAATGTGCCCTCCGGTTTGACGAATTTGCTAATTTTCGCACGCGTTAAATAACAATTGATGAAAAACAGTCGATTTACATTCGGTAGAGGAAAAAGTGAGTGTGTGTACTTTCGTACACAAAGACTCTCACTGAATCCGAATAACAACACAGTATCAAGGCTATAACGACCACCGTGGTCTCGCATTCCAGTCAAGTCTCTCATCGCAACTATTACTCCTATCGCATGCTGAAATCAAGACTTTCAAGCTACTAAATTTCCACGTCATACAGGAAACAGCTTGTTCATTTTTTCTGATTTTCTATAGTTGAAATGGTTACTGAAAATGCCTGATATAAGCGATAAGAGGTATAGCAAATACTGTAGGGATAAATGTTTGTCCTTAGAGAAGCTTCTGATACTAGACGATTTGAAATTTTTATTGATGAAAGACGAGCAGGTGCTTATGATTACTAATTAGAAAAAAATTCGTTTGTTCAAATGCGATCATTTGAGGGCAGTTTAAAGGTTGTCGGTTACAAACTGGAATCTGATGGTGCAATCTGATGAATTCTAATGTCTTAGCAGTGATTCATCGTTAAAACATACAAAGTAATTCACGTCCAGTACATTCAGTTATTTATCGCCGATGTTTTGAACTCGTTTAGTTCCCGTCGTGCTGTATTAACTCTACCCAGTTTCCTTCAGTTAGCATTGGCAATGACAGTATGTAAAATAGCTCATCCTAGTGTAAGGATCACTGAGGCTGAAGTTCTCATTAACTAGAAAGTTGTGCGTAAATTTGAAAAACCGTGTACTTTCTCACAGAGGCGATCTTCTTCCTTTGTTCCTGGATATGGTTTAGAGCGTATTACCAACGCAGAGAATTAATTCCAGCTATAATTACGGCTTTTTGAATACTTTGTGGATTCTTCTTGACACTGAGACTATCGAGACAACTAGTCTATCATAGGTTCACTGGTAGACTGGAACTGTGGCTCATTGGAAATCACTTTCTCATATTTGGTTTTCAGTAGAAATTTTTACTAAGTGTTTCGCGGGTGGAAAGCTGACCTTCAAAAAAGACATTCTCTTAGCTAGTTAGACGTTTTGTCTGCTAATAATGACAACTTTAAAACTAGCTCAGACCATGGCAGAACACTTTCGATTGCTTGTGCTTTACCTACCACTACAAAATCGCGTTCATTTTCCGCTGAGGGCGAGTTCTGTGCACGACTATTGCTTCAGATGCTGCTCCATCCACCTGTGAGGACTTACTAACGAACTATTACTAGTTACTAAAGCGCTCATGACATCTTAAGAAACATCTAGCTGATTCCAGACACTCCCTAATGGCGGGCATCGGTGTTGTTGCTGATTGGCCATTACTGGTAACGCTGCTGGGTTACGGCCAACATTACTTGATGATCATAACCACAACGATAAAGCCCACGATGTTTGCGTACCAGCTAACTCAGTCCAAACCCGATGCTAAACTGTTGCCGTGTTTTGTTTACTGGTCGGAGCAAGTCATCGCGCCGCGACCGCGTCGCGACATCTTCAAAAACTCACTAGACCGCCGTTACGTGCAACAGCTGATACTAGTAGCCGTTGTATACCGGTATGAAGTCTGTTATCGATGTTTTTTCGCCGATGTTTCCTGAATGTTTTCTGAATACTTCATAGTTCCGGTTTAGCTGTCCGGCCCTGATAATGCCTATCATATTCACATGATGTTCATATGTTTTCGTTTGTTGCTTGTTTATCATTATCACTATCGTTTACGCTGTGATTTTCGAACCTGTTAGTGGTGTCAATTGTCTACGATTCATCGATCAAGTCGGCTTTGTTGGGTATCAGGTTCTTCCATCACTCCTATGCCACCTTCTGTGAAAGTTTAAAGTTTTCTCCTTAGTTTTATTTATTAAGTTCTTATGATATACAAGGTTCAGTAGCGGTCACCTTAAACTTGAATATTGCTTTTTCTTTAGCAAATGGAGCGGGAGTTGTTTGTGAAGGAGTTTTTCAATAATCTTTCGTTTATTTAATCGCTTACCTTTCAATGGTGAATTAACCTCCGTAGGTCAAGTTCTTACTTGTCTACGATAGTCGCAGAGTAGATCTCTGCGACTTCATATCCCTATGTGTAGCGCAGTGGTTAGGTGTTTCCTGCAAAACTTATGTGGTCGTTGGCTCAACCCCGCATACCATATCTGTCACCGTTGTTTCGGATTTAGCAGATTGGCACCAGACTTGTCCGTGTCGGTAGCTGTGCTGACTGATCTGATGAGATCGGTGGGTCACTATATGGCACTTTACATGGCAAACATGGTCATTAAACCACTTTAGGGATGCTTAGTGAAGTCGTTTGCATGACTTATCCCTAAGGGATCCATCAACACCGAACGATTTATCCTTTATCGCTTTTGCAAATGTCATTTTATGTGAAGCTACTTCTCTCAGAACTTAGTGCTTTTATGTTTTGCACCGGACCATTTATTGTGAAAAAACACCTTTTTTCAAGGGTGCTTTGTGAAATTTTTCCTCTATATGTCGAACCACCTATGTCGTAGTCGCTTTTTTCACCACTCTATTTTCAGATTACTTCATATATCAAACAACATGCTATGATAAGATTACTTTTCTTCAGGTCTCATGAATTTGGATACAGAGGTCCGGTCATCATCTCCTGCTCCAGATCGACCGTTTCATCGTGCTCTACGTGGCGGAGATTCGGATGCACTTGAACGGGTGAAAGAGGTTAGTCGGATTGTTCACAGTTACCTTACTTTTAGCTCTTTTATTTATAGGTTAGGAAGTTGGTATTTACATAATATTTTCATCTTTATAAAGTATATGAATGTTTCACTAATGTAATATCAGATTGAAATCATGCCCATGTCTTGATAAAAACAAAGTCACTAGGACGATTACCGTCTCATAATTACTGTTCGATTACCTATAGCTGAAAATTAGTATCATGTCTTACTGTATTTCCCTGCAGGAGACTTATAGTGAAGGGCAAGGGATAAATAACGTTTGTAACAGTTCATTTAGCCATCTGTGTAGAAATTATTTTTCACCCTTTTTTGCGTCACCATAGAATTTGAGCTTCAGGGAACTGATTTCTTAGAATCAGAATTCTTAGATCTGCTAGAGATAAGACGAGCTAATTTTCAAGTTTGTGAACGGAATTTCCCTCCCAACGGTTTACCGCCTCATCGTGGTTGGGATGTGTTCTTGGGTGTTGTTCTGCGATGTACAGCGAGTGATCCACCCCTCCCCCTCCCTCACTCCTACCCCAGCAGGTTCTAGGTTCTCCTAGGCTGAAAAGGAGTCCGGCATCCGGCATCCGGCATTTCAGTCAGGAAGCCCAGCTAAAAGTGCACCAGTACCAGGATCCATCGCCGTCTTGTTATGAAACTAGTCACGTGGTGGCAGATCTCCTTCTGATCCGCAAGGGCGACTACCTATGATGGCGACGATCCGGGGCAGACTTTGGTCCGGCTGACTTCGGGAATTCAGGGAACCACAGTGGCTAAGCCAGCAAAACCCAAAAAAATGGATATTATGTTGGGTCCCGCACAACAAGTGAGGACGGCCATGCAAATATCGAAGTAATTAAGAACAAAATTTCATGTAGGCTGACGAATTCCATTCAAATAAATGCGATTTATGGTTCCAGATAGGTGAAAGAAGTGTGTCTTTCTGCTTTTCATTTAAGAATTGATGTAACTGAAAATATTTACAATGAAAAGACGTCATTTAATAGGATTGTTCTATCAGGTTTTCTTTATGAAAGCTTTCGATCCTAGGGTCTTACACGAGTTCTCTCTCGAATTAACGTCAGTGTGACGGCTTCTAATGAAGAAGATTTCCTGACACTCGCTGCAAACGCTTGCTGCGCGGAATGGAAATTACGGCAAAAAAATTCAGAAATAGCGCTCAAAGTGGGAGCTCCTCGTTTTTCTTCTATGGAGAAATTTTCAGTGGAGAATAATAATTTTGTTTTCCGGGAATGTTGCTGGTTCTGGAGTTGTGCCTTGCTCAGCCGACGACTCATGATACCACATTTGCCAACCTAGTCAGTCAACTTGGCTTTAATTCAGTGAGCGTTTTCTTCATATCCTTCGTCTCTTGCTTGAATGAAGAGAAAATCGGGCTTATGGTTTGCATGTTTTCACCTGAAACTTCAACTGCAGTCGTGACAAATATTGCGTTTTTGGACGTGCAGCAGAAACTAAAGAAAATTTTGTTATTTCCTTGTACTCAGTAAACTATGTAGAGTTTCTTACAGTCGTTTCATTTTTTCAGAACTTTCTTCCTCGGTTTCTGACTGTTGTAAATTCTTCTAGGTAGCGTTTTGGAAAATTGCGGTACCTCAAGTTTATGACTCGGATCTGTCATTCGGCACCCAGTACCGTGACTCGCTTCTGTTCTCGTTAGCTCTTTATGATGTTAACAATAGCAAAAATCGATTACGGTAGATTTTTCTCATCTGCAGTTTGAATCTTCATCGAATCTTTTGTTTGAAAAAAGGAAAACTTTCTTTTAAGCGAGTTGTACGCTGCTGTGCCTGGAGTACGTCAAAGTATGTTGGGCGTGCACGCGAAGAAATTCGGCGAGAAGTATAGGCATATTCAGGTTTTTGGATTTTTTTTCAAACTAAAACTATGCGTTTATCTTAGGGTTGCTACAAGTGGATGTTACCATCCATTATAAACCGCTGGTTAAGTAAAGTCGGTACCTCATGTGGTCGTACTTTTGACATCGTGAGGGGATGAGAATGTTGCAGCAACACCTCGATTCTTCTTTCACTCGAGGGAATGTTATGTTTAGCGAGTAAATGTGAAATAATACTACTTCTAGATGGTTCGTTCGCGCGCCAACTCACGAATGTCCTCTGTACATGGTTCTATGGAGGATCTGTTATTACTGGACAATGACGCTGTTGAAGACGGTCAATCTGACGGAGCCAGTGAAGGGCTGTCATCTGGAACGGGAGTTGGAGGACTGACGACTACTTCCCATCACAAGGTTAATTGGCTTTCAAATATTACGTACTAAAAAAAATGGAAGAAAAAGAGTGTATGACTAAGGGCTGGTCAAGTTGGTTTTTCACCTACTGTTCTTATGTATGGGGTCCGTTGAACTGTACAGTAGGATATTTTAACCCTAGTTTCATACGTAACATATGGCACATAGCAAGATATTTGCTTGAAAAATATGTTTTTGTACAACAGAAAGGTATTCAACGTTATGTTAGGCTGTTCAGAGAGCAGTGCACGATTTGTAATTTTATTTTCCTTAAATTTTTTTTGCCATCATTTCTTTCTGTTCTATCGTATACACACCGTGTTTGGGAAATTCAATAACTGTATGTGTTGTTTTCAGAAATGTTTTTTTTCTTTAAACATTAGATTTCTTTCATACAAAATCCAAAGTATTAGAATCATAGGTGCGTATTTCTGGGTTTCTCAGTTTTGATATTCAATCCAGCCATGAGATTCGTAGTCGGTTAAGAATGTAGGTGAATTTTTGAATTTTTCAACTGTCAGAATGGTGTGTGATTTGCATTTTTCTAGCAAAGGGTCATAAACGTGTCAAACGCGCCACCGATTTCCCTCAAGCGCAAAGACAGCGGATGTTGGGAAATCAAGCAAGGTGGGTTTAGATTATATGTGGTTTCTTTTATGTTCAAGCAAAAGTGTGATTTGTGGTTTTATTTTTGAAACTCGTTTTTTCGTACACGTAAACCTCTTAAAATAAGTGTGCAGAAGTGTATCGTGAGAGTTGAGAAATTTCCTAGGTCAATCGCTACGTACTTTTCAGGATCCGGCGGCTTAGTGTCGTGTGTTGATCCTGTTATGTCGGTGGACAAAGAGAATATATGGTTATCAAACCTTGGTATCAATATTAAAGAGGAACGTGACGAAATGGTGGGTTTCGTTTATAGTTATAGTATAAGTCCAATTCGCAGTTTGGGAGTATCTTGTCTTTCCTGATATTATCTTGAAGGTATTTATCAGTTTTATAGGATATCCATCCACCATCTACAAATTCGCTTGGTTTGCCCCTTATAAAGCAGGCAAGAGCAGGTGAAATTTTCCACGTACTAGAGGAGGACGACAAGAAGCAGGAGCTTACTGCTAAGGAACAGATTGTAGAGTACGTTTCACACTGTATACTTCCTTCCTATCATTTTAATGAAGGGTTTCGGTTGAAGTTAGGTCCTATAAATGTAAACTTTTAGAAGGGACATGTCTCTTCTGTCAGTATTGCACGATTACAATAGATCTAATTACCAGCTGAACCCAGTCTTCGTCAATCAGGTAACTAAGTCTTCAAAGCGACCTTTATTATACTGCTTAGTAACTTCAGGAAGATTACAATGCTTACTATGGAGGAATTAGCAATGGTTTGTTATGGCCTGCCTTACACAATTTGTCGGAGTATATTGTCAAGGAATATGACGATCCTAACGTTAGTGTAGTCGTTTTACTTTTTAAAAGATCTCTAGTTTTGTGATTGTGGTATAGCAAACATGTTTAAGGTTCTTCGCGAACATTGGTGTGCGTATGTACGTGTCAACTACCAATTTGGTATAAATGCCGCTCGTAACAGTCGTCCTCAAGACTTTATTTGGATTCACGACTACCATCTCATGCTCACAGGCCAGATAATGCGTAGTTTGGACAGTAATCTTGAAGTTAGCTAGCTTTCTTATGGCTCTTATAAAATACCTAGACCTTTCAGTAAATTAGAATACCTGAAAACCAAAATATATCCCTACTTTGTCCCATATTCGATCTCGAGTTTTAATATTCTGGCGTACTTCTTTTTCTTCTACCGTCTGTACTTAATATTATTTCACATACATAGGTCGGCTTCTTTCTGCACATACCTTTTCAACCACCAGCAGATTTTATGAAGAAATACAAAGTGGTTGCTGATCCAATACTTCGAAGCATTTTACGCTTTACAAAGGTAATCGGTTGTTAAGAATCCATCGTGCAAAAGTGTTCTGAATTTTTTTTTCGTTTATACAATTTATGGTGTAGATTGAATCGTGAAGTAAAGGATCTCGTTGTATTTCATTGCATCCTGTTATATTTTTTTAAGGTTGGCTTTCAAACCCATCGTGACCGTGACCGATACGTTGAGTTGGTCAGGCAGCACATCCCCAGAGCTAGAGTGCATTTCGATAACAGAATAGATATCTTTACTGTAACATACGAAGTAGGTAATTCATGTTACCAATATGTTTCCTGTCTTGGTAACTACGATTATTGAAGGCCTCACTGAGATGCTTCAGGGATGGACATGTTCGCTGGGAGTGTTCCCAGTTTCAATTAAGAATGAAGACTTTCTTTCAATTGCTAATGAGCCACAATGCGCCATTGATGCTCAGGAGATCAAGCAGGAAGTGAGACAGACTTTTTTTTTACTATTTCCGTCTGAGTTTTTAATTTATGCGTATAGACTAGACCTCCTAACGCTTTACCGCCTTATAGTGGCTGGGAGGTGGTTCTGGGTATCGGGCTGCGAGATACAGCGGGTGGGGGGGATTCGTTCATCCAGCAGGGTCTCCCAAGCTAAGGTGTCCGGCGTTTCCATTCGGGAGACCAGCTAAGAGTAAACTAGTACCAGGATCCACCACCGTCCTGGTATTAAACTAGTTACATGGTGGTAAATTTTTCTCTGATTCACAAGAGCGGCGACTGTCTGTGGTGATAACGACCTGTGACAGAATTAGGCTAGACTAACCTCGCTGCTCGAGGGAACCATAGTAGCTAAAGCAGCAAAACTCCGAAAAAGTTGTTGGAAGTTGTTATGTGGCATGCAAAACTAGTGAAGGCGGGCCATTCAAGCATTAATTATCAATTAAACTGGCTAGGATTTTAATACCGGTACTCTATGACTGTTATGTTTCCTTAGATGAGGCTAGCTTCTTCAGGTTTTGGCCAACAGCGGTGAAGGAGGGTGTTTTTTCTTCTCCGTTGAGAGGTTCGACTATACTAAAGGTATCATGGAGAAACTGAAAGCATGGAAGAGGTTGGTTTTTCTGGCTGACCTATATTGTGTAATTTCTTTCTATATTCTGTTAAAAATTAAGGTATTTCGAAAAATACCCCGAAAGGAAGGGACTGGACGTTCTTTATCAGGTAGCGGTCACCAATAGGCGTGCTGTGGAGTCGTATAAAATATACCAGGTAGAGCTGTGCTTATGATTTCCTTCCTTTCGCTTTTGTTAACAATTTAATGACATCTCCTTTCCACTTTATCTGGCTTAGTACTTTATCTATGCAGGATAACTGCTTGGCACTGGCGGCCCATATAAACGAGACCATTCGGTGTGAATCTAGACCAGGTTGGAGGCCTCTTCGATTTGAAACCGATGGACTGCCGCGCACTCGCCTTGTGGCTTATTACCTTGCAATGGATATCGGAGTTGTTACTCCTTCCAAGGTGTTTTCACAGGACTTTTTAGGTTTTCTATTGCCCCATACCTCATGTATTTCAGGATGGCATGAATCTTGTGGCAAAGGAAATGATGGTATGCAACCCAGCTGCCTCGCTTGTGCTTTCGTCAGGAGCTGGCACAGAGGTGCTTATATAGTTACCGATTCAATGGTAGCTTCACGTTTTTCTGGGATCTCTCATTCTTCGGTGGTAGTAATATAGAATAACTTTAGAAATGTATAGTACAATACTTCGTTTTAACCTTTGTAATTACGTAAAAACGATTTCTGATGACAGTGCTTATTATCCTATCATTTATCACTTCTCTAAAAAAAGTGTAGGACAACATTAATTTAGGTGCAATTGGGAAATGCTGGGTTTTACTCTGATGACGAAAAGTACTATCATCGTGTTGATGACATATCGAATACGGAGGTTTTGTTTTTGATGTTCGAAAATCTTATTTTAGACTTTTTATATTTAAAAGCCAGAATATTTTTCAGAACTTCGCTGACGTTTTTTATCGCGCAGCAACGGAAGAGAGAGCTGTAAGGCAGGAACACGGTGGACGACTGAATCAATTCCTAAAGAGTCATGACATTGACGAGTGGAGCTCAGCATTCCTTGATCCTAGCTGGACTCATGAAGTCATTCGACCTAGTGAAGTAATAATGGAATAGATTTGGTTAGTTCATTTTTATGGAGGTCAACAAAATTCGTTTACTTCAGATCAAGCAGCTAGCCGATTTCTACATGCTCATGGCCCAGACCGGGCAGGTACGACGTCAGATTGTTGAGGTCGTTTTAAAAGGAATGCCAATTCGTCCTCATTTTGTCTTGTCGTTGGAGAATGCGAAGGTTCTCTAATTAAGGCACAGTTTCGAAAACGTGCTTTTTGTGTGCTTCTGGATTTGTTATACTTCGTTATTTTAAAGGATTCCCTTGAGAAAAGTTGTTTACCTGACACTAGCAGACTAGTGTTGGAAACGACTTCGCATCCCGAGGATGCCGACGGTGCGAACACTCATGCGACGTTTGATATTAGCGATGAGCTCAGCGAGCTTCAAAAGGATCTCGCATTTCTATCTTTCATCCAGTCTGACGAAACTAACAACGTTGAACAGTTTATTGATGTATGTGAAGTTTATATGGACAGTAACAGCAAGATCGCCAACACCAATTTTAGATGTTTAGTTGCAATTTCCAGACCCTTGGATCGTTTCATCCTTCTGGGCCAACTGCTTTCGTTGCCGAAGTGGAGAAAGCTGCTGCACTTTTAACACTCGGCGACCATTTCCACTACGTCTTCACGGACAGGTGGTTTATTTCGTTTTGTGTTCCGCAGCCACTAAGGTGCTCTATTCACACCATCATTTATCCAGTTCTCTCTTCTACAGCCAAGCTCCTGTTAGATAATTTGTGACACAACGAGATATGAGAAGCAAAGGTGCTTTTTCTACCGAACTCGAAAGTAATTTTCAGAGTAGCCTGTAGTTTAATACTTTAAATTTTAAATGAAGGATTAGTTCGTCATATCTCAACGAAGTTTTTTAACCCTGTATCCGATTTTCATTTAACACGTTGCTTACCATGCTGTTTTTCTGATTACTTAAGTATTTGAACAATTGAGGACTTCGCAGACTAATGAGAGAGATTTCACACTATTACTTTAAAGGGGTATACGTTTTCTAAAGTGTCAATTTTACCTTGTTTTTTATGCCACATTCCTAAGAATACTAGGACAATAGGAAGTTCTTTAAATTTTTAAACAAATTTTTGGCTTCACATGCACTCATATATGCACACATATATATATACATATATATATATATTCCAACGGTTTACCGTCCTATCATGCCTAGGAGGTGTTCCTGGGCCGGGCTGCGATGTACAGCAAGGGGATTCATCTCCCTGGAAAGGTTTCCCAAGATGAGTCCGCCGTTTCTATCAGAAAGCCGAGCCAAGAGTAAACCAATACCAGAATCCGTCACCTTCCCGATACCAAACTAGTCGCATAGTGGCAAATTCTCCTTTGATCCACAAAGACGTCGACTGCCTGCGGAGGTGACGACCTGACGGAGATTTTGGCCGGGCTGACCTCGGGCCTGCTGGTAGCCACAGTGGCTAAACCAACACAACTCCGAAAAAGTGGAGATTATGCTAGGGCCGCACAACTATTGAGGACAGGCCATCTAGGTGTCCAACTAAATGTACGTATATACACATACACGTGTGTGTAGATACATTTGTACATTTATATACATGTATATACGTATGTATATATGTATACATACATGTGTATACACTTATGTGTATGTGTTGGTTATATATATATATACATATATATATATACATTATATATATATATATATATGGTCTGTGGTGCACGTAGCGCAGTGGTTTAGAAGTGCCGTGCACTACACATGGACTCGATCCTGTACCCCAGGCCCACCAAGCCTTCCATCCTTCCGGGGTCGGCAAGTTGGTACCAGACTTGTATGGGAGGATAGCAGCACTGGTTTGATACATCGGTAGGCCACCGCGAGTCATTGTAAAGGCCAGATGTAATTTCAATCACCTCCAACGATGCTTATTGAAGTCGAATGCATGGCGCATTCCTCAGGAATTGATCAACGCAGTGAGATTTGTCTTTTTATCCTTTATATATGGTCACAAATTCATTAACAAATGGCTCCCGAAATGCATTACGCACATACAATGCATTTAATCCGGAAATGTTATATAAGCATGACTGTACGATTAAACAGCTCTCAAGATTAGGCCAACGTAGAGCAAATTGAAACTTATCAGTTAAAATAAAAACCATTGGGCACTAGAGATCATTGCCTACAAAATCCAAGTTGTCTTACTTTGTTAAGATGAAATTCTGTTTTCCGGGTTTCCAAGAAACTTTGTTCACTTTTTTGTGTCATCACTCGTATTTCGAACCTGAAAACAATTAAAACAGTGGGATTGCTCCCAGTAGGGCGTGATATCGCTTATGTTTGTAGCTTACGCGTCTACGTTAGAGCTTTCAAAACTTTAAATCACGTTTTCAATTTCCCGAAATCTTTAGTTTTAAGTACGGTTTGTTTTTGAACAAAGGACCTCCATATTTCGTATTGTGCCACTTATACAGGGTAATATGTCAATTTGTATTTATCTGGAAAAGGGCAACAGATTTAATTTTCCTACATTGGGAAACATGTACACAAAAATCAGATGGGAAGTTACAATATATGAAAAGGCTAAGTAGGTATCCTAAGGTAGCGAATTGCTTATCATATGCGCTCTTTATATACGATTAAGGCAATTGGAAAAGTCTTTTCTATGGACATGCAGACTTTTCAAACACTCTAGTGATGGAGAAATTAGTTTCCTTTGTTGAAAAACCTACACCTATTATATGTTGGTGTTTCTCCAAGTAACACTTTTTTGTTGAAAAAAAACAACAACACAAAAGATCCAGTCACTGTGTATACGATTATCATCCCAGGGTACTTGCACGATGGTAGATGAAGGAAAGTTCATGAGGTTAACCATATTTCGGTTGGGTCTAAAAATACTTAACAACTTATTAAACAAAGGAATCCTCATATCAGGTGGTAATAAAAAGATAACGTGGGCTTCAAGCATGACTGTACGATTAAAGAGTTAAGAAGAGTGACCCTGAATCAATTTTAGCAACGAGATTTCTATATCTTAAATTGTTCGGTTTTAGACTGGGAATTAGTTCTATTTTTTTGTGCGTCTACTTTAATTTGGAATAGAACACCCCGAGAAATCTATGCCGAAGTGTGTAGAAAGATAAAGGATAAAGCTGTCTATGTTGGTAAATCCCTGAGGGATGTCCCTTGCAATCGACTTCGTTAAGCATCGTTTGGTGGTGATTGGATGCATATCTGGCCTTTCAAATTATTCACGGTGGCCTACCGATGTATCGATCGAGTGCTGCTATCCCAGACGAGTCTGTTACCAATTTGCCGACCCCGAAGGAATGGAGAATTTGGTGAGCCGGAGACGCGGGAATCGATCGCATGTGTACCGCAGGGCGCCTCCGACCAATATGCCACACGCGCTTCTTAGATGTATAAGGAATGGTTTATTGTTTGTTATGTTATTGACACATGTTCCCTGAAACATTATTTGAGCGGTAATGTTCGAGATACTCATAGTGAACGGGTTTAACAAGAACATATCGAACAAGCACAATCGATGGAGGGTATAAAGGCAGGGAATAAAGCGTTCTTATTAGGGTTTCATATTCCTGAAATTCTGCTCAACCTATTATGCCATTCCGACATTCCAACAGGCTGAAAAAGTTACTGTGAATGAGACTATATTTTCTAAACGCTTCGAAGAGATCTTCGTCTTAACCGCCTGACTTCTAAATTATTCGGTTGTTTCGATGTTTGCACAACCTTAGTTCATAAAATCTATCAATTTGCGACTGATATATAGTTAACTCGATTCCTAAACTGCTTGTTTGAAAAAGTATTATGTACTAAATTTTTTAAGGGATGGTACGCTGAAGAGTTATTCTTGCTCATATCCTACCAGTGTGCAACCTGCATATTCTGCTGTCATACAGGTGTGTTTTTCAGTAGTAATGGAATATTAGCGCATTACGGATTTTCTTTGTTCGTTCCCTTTATTTCTCTCAATATTTTGCAGTACAGAGTCATCTCTTTGTCATGACTTACACTTAATATTAGTAAAGGAAATGTGAAACAAAACAGTGTTTTTGAAAGATTTCACTTTTAGGCTCAATTCGCGCGTCGTTGTGCCCAGTTCTGCGCTATTGTTACCACAGCACCCCTAGTGCACATTGGAATACTTAACATGAGCACTATGCCTGAAGGTTAACTAAAATGTGTCTTTTTGAAATTACAAATGTTTACGAATGGTATAATGTTCTTTGTATATGAGCTTTTCAAACTACTTCCAGGGTACTACGCCTATGGAGCTTCTGCTGGTCGTGAATGGTATTTCAATCCTGCCATGCAGTTCAAGGACAACAGCATTAGCGATGCTGATCTTTCGTTACTGAATAAAGCGTTTGATAAGGTGATCTGTTCATAGCTATTTTCTCTTCTTTTACCAGGAGTTATAGTATTTCATGCAATAGTAGTTTTTCTTTCTGTTGTATTCTACTAACCTACAATGAACAGGTTTCTCATCGCACGCCACGAAATGCACTTCTAGGTTATCGTCTTCATTCACAAGCCAATATGTCGGAGTAGTTCATTTTAGTTTTCTTGTTCAATTTTTCTATTTTATTATTCCATTTTACCATTTTTATTTCCCAAAACTTCATTTTAGAGCGACAACACGGGTAAGCTATAGGTTCTTTGTTTTCACAATTTTTTTTCGCATCACTGCAGGGAACGTTGGCTGCTGAGATCTCTTTTTGACATGTAATTTTTGCTTCCTTATTCCTGTAGTGTAATATTCCAGATCTAAACATGTTTTGTGTTGCATAGGTGGAGGATCTACTCGAAAATCCTGAGTTTCGCAACTTCACGTGGATTGGCAGTGGATTGCAAAAGCATTATGGTCACATCACGATAGCAAAGCAAGATGTTAACAATTCAATCCCGCAGAGAAAGAGCATCCTTCTGTAAGTTCTTAATGAGTAATCATCACTAGTTAAGTTGGTCACGTATCGCGCAGGGTCGGGGACGCCTTGCACTACATATAAGGTAGACCCCAGCGCCCAAAGCTCACCAAACCTTCCATCTCTCTGAGGTCAGCAGATTCATACCAGTCTTGTCTGGGACGATAGCAGCAGTGGCTTGATACATCAGTAGACCACCACGAGTCATTGTAAACGCCAGATATGCATTTAATCACATCCAACGATGCTTAATGAATTCGAATTCATGGCCCATCCCTCAGAGATTGATCAGCGTCGATAGCGTTATTCTTTATTTTTTTACTAGATAACTTCGTGATGAATTCGTACTATATTTCTAGCTTTGTCATTGGAATTTTCGCTAAGTGTAATATTATATATTTAGTCTACATAACATTGTAGGTTCAACGAAGTGACCAAAATTGTAAACGAAGTTGATCCCACGGGAACAGTTTTGACAATCAGAGAGAACGAATACGACATTAAAATCTACACGAAGGTATATATTTCCTATTTGTTTGGCTTTATTCGTGTCGACATTTTTTTTTTTACTTTTGTAATCGTGTTTAACTTACTACATCACGTGGAATTTTGGAGAATTGTGTTTAGGCAAAATTATCTGGTCGGATATTTAACAAAGGTCATGGTGTTCGTCTGATTGAGCGAAAAATGGGTATGCAGTTGCAGGATGGTAGGCCATTTGATGTGGTACTATATTTGCATTTCTGTTGTTCTTCTCCTCCCAGCGGTTTACCTCCTCATCGTGGCTAGGAGTTGTACCTGGGTGTTGGGCTACGATGTACAGCGGGAGAATTTGTCCCCCGGCAGAGTCTTCCAAGCTGAGAAGGAGTCCGGCTTTTCCAGTAAGAAGCCCAGCTAAGAGTAAACCAATACCAGGGTTAGCCACCGTCCTGGTACTAAACTAGTCGCATGGTGGCAAATCTCCCTCTGATCCACAGGGGCTGCGAATGACTGTGGTGGTGACGACCTATGGCAGACTAGCCAGGGTGACATCGGGTTTCCTGGGAAAGAATAAACTAAGCGCAAAACTCCGAAAAATGGAGATTATGTTGGAGCTCGCACAACCACTGGAGGCGGATCGTCCAAGTGTCCAAGTAAGTAAGTTGTTTGTTTTCCGTATTTGTGGAGTATATGCTTTGTTTTCCGTTTAATTAGTGACATGTTCCAATAACTGCATTATTACCACTAAGCTCGTTCTACGTTTTGATGATTAACAAAAAATCTCAGATAAGAAATAATTAAGGTAATGTGCTAGTGTGTGGCGATTCTGATACGGATATTCCTATGCTGGAAGAATGTCTATCTGTTGCCCCACCAAACGTGTATACAATTTGGGTCACAAAAGATGAAGCTCTTAAAGAAAAGGTGTGCATTTTTTTGCAATGTTTGTAGTAGCAACTTCATAGAAGAGTTACAGGTTACCCAAACATGTGCACATTTTCATAACAGTAACGTTGCCTTCGTATCTTGTCCTGAGGTACTGCTTGGTGCTATGGCACAGGCCACCGTACGTGAGCTGAAAGTACGTGGTGTAAACTTTGACGATGACGGTGATATCTAGTGTTCGAATGACAGCAGTTAGTTCTATTGGTCATTATCCTCTTTTTGAAACCTCTGTCATGTGATATTACCTGCAACAGTTGCTTTTCTCGGAAATTGGTGTTACATCTTGAATTATATTATTGTATGGTTTAATTGCATTACTGCCTCAGAAGAACACGCTGAAATGTGATTTCGCCAATTTCTGTCTATCTATACGTTTAAGTTTCCCAGTCAAGATATCCAGAGAAGCTTTCATTATTTCGTGTTGATTGAGAGCCTCAGTATTTGACTAAGATATTATTGTTATTATTTCCATTATTATTATTAAGCATTTTTAAATCTCAATAGTTGTAAGTATGTTCATAGTTAAATGTGGATATCTTTTGAGTAGTTAGTATATAAGTAGTGTGTCGAGTTTTTCCTACGCATTTGTCACCTAGTGTATTTACGATTCCGAATCGGCTCAAGATTTCGATTTGAATTACGGTTTTCTTGCCAACATTTATTCTTTATTGTGACAGTAACACTCAAACCGATGACAGACGTTTTGTTCGAAGTGAGGGCGTGTCGAATGAGCTGTAGCTTATGATTAAGCCATGCTCCTACCGGTTTCTTCAGGTGATCACTGTGTTAGTGTAGCCACAATGTATATCATTTGGATAATTGAGGCCAATAAAAGTTACTCTCAACTTCTATTGCTATGTCCTAAACATGATTAAGTAGATACGAATGGGTGGGGTCCTGTGGTAATTTCCTGCTAGCGTTTTTGATTCTAATCCAATAAATTTAACTACACTTTATTATACTAATTCAGCTTGAAGTAGGCATGATTTGCAGTTGAAGTGATGGGGTGAGCATGTCTTGTTTCTCTGATTATATCTACACGTTCACTACATAGGTGAGCGCTTTCTAGGGTGGTCTTTACTGTATAAAATTTCAAGTCAACGAATACATTCTATGAAGTTATCGCGCATACTCAACAGCGCTTGGTTTTTTTAATTCCTGATCGTTCCTGATAATCTGGCAAGGAAGCCGGAGTGGTATGAAGTTTGTGCGAAGGAGCTTCAAAGCCTACATTCAAGATATACGAGAGAAATTGTAGTGGAGTTGCTAAAGAGGATGTTAAATAGTGTGTAAGAGTATATAAGGTTCATCGTCACAGTCGATATTGGATTGGCCCGTTTTATGAAGACGAGACATGGGTCATTTTCTCAGCGAACGTTACCTTAAATTTTATGAACTGAAAATTACAACATAGTAGTTGATATCTGTGTCGTGGGTTCTGGTTCTAACACGTGTTCATGTGAGTTCTGAATGAAAATTGAATTGAACTTCATATGTTTTTCTTAAAAAAGGAACCATGGGATAGCGTTTTTCTGTTACGATTATGCGCTGTTGAAGCCCGTCCAACCTCGTTGCAAGATCTCGCCAGCGTCAACATCCTCTCCCTATGAGGTCGACAAATTACTGGCGACCTCGCTTGTAATGAACAAATATACTTTGCCAGTTGGTCGCAGCAGAGACCACTGTAAAGTGGAATGCATGTTTGAGGCAACCTCCTAGAAGAATATTAGGACGGTAGCGCATTAACGGAATCCATCGAGTGAGTTCTATCAGTTATGCAGTAGAAGCTTGTCCATTAGTTGTAGTCCAAGCCAAGTAGATTAAGTCCGAGTGAAACTCATGAGTTAGTTATAATCCACTTGAAATGTTTTACATTGCTGTGAAACGGAGCGCGTGTGGCGCAGTGGATCGGAGCCGCCCTGCAATACACACGTGATCGATCCCGCGCCCCTGGCCCACCAAACGCTCGATCACTCCGGGGTCGGCGAATTGGTACCAGACTTGTCTAGGAGGATAACAGCACTGACTTGATACATCGGTAGGCCACCGCGAGTCATTGTTAAGGCCAGATATGCATTCAATCACCTCCAAACGATGCTTAATGAAGTCGAATACATGGTGCATCCCTCAGGGATTGATCAACGCCGAAAGCTTTATCCTTTCATCCCTTTTTATCGGTAAGAGTTGGACATTTGTAGAAAAAAATTCTTATGCTGTTTATATAAATCACCACTAACTAGTTTCTACATCTTGTTATGATTAATTATTGTCCGCCTGTAAATTGATAACGTTTGCAATTTACAATTTGGTAATCTTGAATAGTTTCCAATTGTATGTGGTGTCAGACCGTGTATAGTGTCGTGGTAAATAGGTTCATGCTAGTTGGACGAAGTTGCTTGTGGTGTCTTAAGATTCTTTAGTTAAGCCGCTCTCAAGCAATTGTAACAAGGTAGGTTTCCCTGAGATCTCGTTGTTTTTTTAGCACTTTTCGGGTGGCACTTGCTCAGGAGAGAAATATCATAAAATATGGCGCATTAGTTCCTGGTTTAAATTTTCCCATTTGAATTTTCACCAGGGTGTACGCTCCGCCTAATAATCACTGGGATGTAGCAGACGGATTACGAAGGAAATATATGAGGTATTCAAGTAAATTGGTAGGGAAGAAGATGATGCTACACACAGTTAATTGAGTTTCACAGAAGAACAAAACCTGAGGAGAAAATCACACATTTCAAGTGGAGTTCGCATAAGATTGAGCTTAATTTAAAATTCGTTGCAGCTTTCACCAGTTAACCGGTCTATATTGATTTGTATAGTCTCCTTAACTGATAATTTCTAGAAGAGATTTTCCGACCGCAGAGTGTAGTTCTAAACATCGCCCAAAGAGTAGGTTTGGCGAATGTCCCGATCGCATACCGAATCCTACTTTGCCACAGGGCCATTTCATAGGAAATTATCCCTGCCACTGGGAAAATCCGCTCTGTTTATTACATGCCATAACGCAGATACCGAGCGCGCGTAGCGCAGTAGTAGGAGGCGCCCTGAAATGCACGTGGGATCGATCTTCGCGCCCAAGGCTCACCAAGCCATTCATCCCTCCGAGGTTGGAAAATTGGTATCACACTTGTTTGGGAGGGCAGCACTGGCTCAATACATAGGTAGACCACCTCGAGTCATTGTAAAGGCCAGATATGCAGTCAATCACATCCAACGATGCTTAATGAAGCCGAGTGCATGGCGTACCCCTCAGGGATTGATCGACGTCGAAAGCTTCATCCTTTTTTAGCGTAAACGCCGCATTAATTGATATAAGATTAGTTTAATGGACTGGATTGTGTTCATATAACCCTTGTCAAAGTGGTCTCTTTCATGTGATGAATCTCAAGTCCCTTAATCGAGAGCATATGAAGAGCTCCATTCGATGGAGGGAAATGTGAGAAATCAAACCAATCAAAACAAGCATATGCCTTCCTACATATCGATGTGGGTTCAGTGAGTAGTTTCCTTGTTTCACTGTTCTGCATACACATATTTCTTTTCACTTTTATGTGATGCAATACCACATTTTCTACGAATTCTAGTACTCATTGCATTTGTTTCGTTTCCTCGCATCCACCATCTCAGGTCTTCGAATTGTTGGGTTCAACTGCTGCTTGAGGATTTTTGGTCTTCTTCATGGATGCCATTGAAAACTGGTCGAGTAAATTTTTTTCGAATCTTGGTATAGCCATGATAGGCCGTTCCTAATTCTTCATTCCACATATAACTTTTGTATAAACACAGACGTATTCATAAATGTGTCGCTTTAACGTGTTTCCGTATATGGGGATTACTTCCCGCAAGATTGGGACAGGATTCCTCACATGGTCGAAAAAAAATATGGGAAGCATTTCGTAGTTATTTAAATGAGTAAGATCCACGTTTACTAAGTTTTCTTTTGTCATGCCTTGTAGGATACCTGTGATTTCCTTTGCATGTAGTGCAGGTGGTACTGAATTACGGGACTTTTCCTCTAACTCTCATTGGTGTAGTTTTCAGACATCAACCCTTCAGGTTTGTTTCGTCTTCTGGTCGAACCAATATAATTTTCTTCCTTGTCACTGTTTTTCACTTAAAAAGCTTATAAAACACATTTGTCGCACTACTAGTGAAGAAACACAGTAACAGTAATCCCTGTGCGTAGTTGAAAACGATTTAGTAACATGAGCACGAAACCAAGAGATCTCACTAGTATTAATGACTAGGTGATTCACACATTATTCCTGTAAAGGATAAAGGATAGAAGGATAAATGAAACATTTGGCATTGGTCGATCCCTGAGTGATCAGCCATGCATTGGACTTCATCAAGCATCGTAGAGGTGCATACCCGGCCTATACGATGATTCACGACGGCCCGTCGATGTATGAAGTCAGAGTTTTTGCTCTCCCAGACAAGCATGGTACCAATTTCCTGAATTTGGAATGAAAGAAGGCGTGGTCAGACTTGGGTGTGGGATCAAACCAGCATCAGAATATGTTTACCGTATATTTATATGCGCCTATTGTATGGCACCTCTAACTACTGCGCTGCACGAGCCTATCAATCGTACTTGAATTAATCTTATCATTTATAGCAGTTAGTCTAATTGACGTGAAAATGAGGTTAAGATCCCATACGTGAACATCCCGACAATGACAATGATTTAGCGATGTTTTAATCTACGCGTTTCTGCGATGGTATGTGCCTCAGTTTTCAATAATACCATAACAAAAATAAAGAATGGTGTCAGTTTTAACGCTAAGAACAGATGTCCTATGTGTCCAGACCTTGATATATTCATGTATACATCATACGTGTGTGAGGTTGAGGAGTATATGAAAGTGCGTGCTAGAGGCGGAAGCATGAGGATCGATGTGCCCGCCTGGCGGGGAAAGTAAAGCAGGGCCGGACCGACGACGGCAACCTAGTCGACGACGTCGTGTTCCAGAATTAACAACGTCATCGTCTCGTTACTGTTGTTGTCCTATTCATCGGCATGTCACTCTGCCATTCTCAGTCATACGGCACGACTGTCGATGAAGACGGTGAGTGTCAAACACATATGTTGATGATCAATTGTAAAACAATATCACAATAACTTATACTATTCAACGACATTACTAATCGCATAGCGTTTTCTGGGTATTTCATGTGACGTGCATTAGAGCAGCTTCCTTCGGTTTCCACGGTGATGACATCGTTTCAAGTTGAACAGCTTCGGAATCACGTACTTCTGCTGTCCACATATCGAAATGCATACAATTCAACGACATAGGGAGTATGGGGCAAACGATTTCTACGCCACATCCTTCATTTTCTCTACACTCGTTTATTACTTTACATATAAATGCGCATAATACTGGTCTATTCGGTCGTATGCAGAATCCTACCAGTCTAAATCGTACACGCAATGCTCTTAACGTGTAATTCCATAGAGATTCAAATTGCTTCAGCACATTTTCGAGATCGATTTATTCAAGGCAATGTAAACATCTTACGAAAGTGCTTTCCTCTCGATATGGATCCATCCATAGCCATCATCGGGGCGTGTTGCAAAATGGTAGCCGTTGCTAACGCCAGAGTAATGAATGCGTAATGAATTTTGCGCAATTTTCTTCGCATTCATGTGGTCCTCCTTGTAATAAATCACATAATTTCATTGCTGGGTAGATTCAACAACACAGTGAGCTGGTTTCCATCGGAATGGAACGACGAGGCGATCAGATATTTCCCGTTGAGTAAACTCAACAAACGAAGTATTCTAATTGGAGCTTCGATACATCCGCTGAGAGAAATACGTTTGACCTAAAAGTGCAAAGGCGTCGAAGATTGGCTATCGTCTTTCTTTGCGATATCCTTTTACCATTAAACGCTAAATACTTAGACCTCAAATATGAGTGAACTTATCAGAAGACAAGACAGAGAACTGATGAATTAAAGAGGTGGAACAGTATCTATGTGAATCCTAGAACGGTTTTCTCTTTTATATCTTACTTCCCTATGAGCAGTTTTTCTTCAATTCTTGGACATTGCGATTTCATGGGACCTAGAACGGAAACCACTTCATTTTTTGGAGTGTCCAATTATATGGCCTACCGATGTATCGAGCCAGTGCTGCTATCCTCCCAGACAAGCCTAGTACCAATGTACCGACTCCAGAGGAATGGACGGCTTGGTGGGCCAGGGCACAAGGATCGCTCCCATGTGTATTGCAGGGCGACTTCGACCACTGCGCTAAGTGTACCCTTTTGATGGTATCCGCGTCTGTCAATATATATGTGATTTTCCATTCGAGGCCATTTAGTTCTTCTTAGATTCTAGTTCTAAACCGCCTAAACATTTCTTGGGCCTGATGAACGATAGTGGTCGTACGGCGAATGGTTGTACTTACGTTCAACTATCGCAGTCGTGTCACGCGCGGCCGCGCTGCGGTTATTATCAATACCTCAGTCCATTCATGCCGACAGCACGTCTTATTTCATGTATTCGAGAGTTAAAACTAACGAAAATGATGACTATGATGTTGCTAATGATGATTATGAGCGGTTAGGTGAGTAGATGCTTACATTATTCATCATTTCACTGTATGTTTCTCGTTATTCTGGCCGTAATATTGCGCAGAAATCGTGAAAGCTCGTGAAATTCCATTTACCTTTCAAAAAGCTGATGGCTGGACAGTGTGTGATTGATGGGATAACGGCCATATCTTAACTACCTATCAGTTATCGAGGAGTTATGTTGTGTGTGCTCCAGATTTCGGCCCACCGAAATGGCGAATGGCGCGACGTCACTTTGTCGCCGCTCTGGCGCTGCTCGGATTTGCCAATATCTATGCGATGCGAGCAAATCTGAGTGTCGCTATAGTGGAGATGTCAACCGGAACCTACAGGAACATCAACGGAACACGTGTTCATGTGAGTTCTGAATGAAAATTGAATTGAACTTCATATGTTTTTCTTAAAAGAGAAACCATGGGATAGCGTTTTTCTGTTACGATTATGGGCTGTCGAAACCCGTCCAACCTCGTTGCAAGATCTCGTCAGCGTCAACATCCTCTTCCTATGAGGTCGACAAATTACTGACGACCTCGCTTGTAATGAACAAATATGCTTTACCAGTTGGTCGCAGTAGAGACCACTGTAAAGTCGAATGCATGTTGAGGCAACCTCCTAGAAGAATATTAGGACGGTAGCGCATTAACGGAATCCATTGAGGGAGTTCTATCAGTTATGCAGTGGAAGCTTGTCCATTAGTTTTAGTCCAAACCAAGTAGATTAAGTCAGAGTGAAACTCATGAGTTAGTTATAATCCATTTGAAATGTTCGACATTGCTGTGAAACGAAGCCGAGAGGTACCGACTATAGTCAGGACAGATCTTTATCTCTTTTGAAGCAACTCAATTCATCACAGATTCACAGTCATCTTGTCTTCATACTTGGTAGAATTCTGAGTAGTGTAGTAAAAATTTAGAAGAACTGTATGCTACTGAGGCAAACACTTATTAAATGATCGGTTTTCTTCGTAACGTTGGATATGCCATCATTTTTACGTTTGCTACACTGTCTTCCAAGAAAATTCCTTACTCAACACTTAATAGAATTCTTATTTTAAGAGCTTATATGTTTCATATTAAAAGTTGATGGTATGGTGTGATCTGTGTTATGAGTTAATTTATTGACTTTTGAATCTGTTTCAAGGACTAACGCATGAAAAAAGAGAATCGATGACTAGTGCAATTTATAAGGTTTTTAATGCGAGTGACATTATGCTAAGCCGTGCAAAAGCTAATCAAATCCGCTTTGGTGCCGTCTTCATTAGAATGGGAAAGTGCTACTCAAGAACTAGAGGTTGTGGAGTAGATAATGGGAAGTAGAATTTCAATACTCTGTAGATGTTCTATTATATAAAAACCTTGCAATCATATTAGCGCCAGCGCCAGTACATGTCACCTGTGGTTCCATTTGTTAACGAGTAACTCCATTTATTACCAATAATGCTTTCACTCACCAAATATCCACAAGGGACACGAACAGCATAACGCTTTTGCTACGCTACCTTTTTATTTACTCTTTTTTTTTGACGAGAAAGTAACTATTAAAGGATTAGCTGGCCCTTTGAATGGAAATATCGAACTCCTTCGCAGATCAGGAAATCCGGGTATGAAGTAAATCTTTGCTATACATCACAGTAAACCCAAGAATACGATGCAGTCAGTGGCTATAAGGCGGTTAACCACTAGGTAGCATTATTAAGTTGCGAAAGCTTTCCATTTTGTTTTTTCAGCACGCCGGAACTCCATACAAAAACATACGTAGTCATACAAGTATAAGTATTTAAATATGCAAACAAATATTTTATCCTTGCATTGAGAAATGAAACGCTTAGTTTACTAGTGCTGAGTGCTGAGATCTGTTCGTTCACTAACTGTCGTTGTTTTCATTGTTGTTCTAGGATATATAAACGAGTTTGCTTGTTAGCGAACTTTTACGGAGATTTTTAACGACATCAAAACGAAATCGGAATCGGAACAAATTCTTTAACAATTTAGAAGAATATCGACAATTGTAATGGAACAAAGAGAACTGTGTTCTTTCTCAAGTGATTCTATTAGCTTTACAGTTCCATTCTGTTTTGGAGCTTTTATTTCTTTGAGATGCTCCAAATATTTTCTCACTACCCATCAAGCGCTGTAGATAAAGTTGGGAAGAAAAAATAACTTTTTCAACCTGAAATGTTTGAAAAACAAGCAATTTCCAGGCAAAAAAATTTCTGGCCATTTTTAATTTTCGATTTAATTATTCTTAATTTTATAACACTTTATAGCTTCTGTTCGAAGTTTGCAACGCGGAGCGGTTTAAAGGATTTCACGCAAGGTTAATTCCTCTCGACCAATTCGAGGTGTTTTTATTTCATTGCAATGCCATGCCTAAGGCATTTCTAATTTGGCCATCTTAGTTGCAATTCGGATTAAACAATGAGAAATGACTAAGGGAAAAGAAACATCTCCTAACTTCGAAATCAGGTCGCGACCCACCACTAGGACAATTGGATAATGAGTATTTATCAGGCTGCAGAGCGCAAACAACAATATTTGAATTGTGCTGGATTCGTCACGGGAGTCAAGGGTTATTGTACGCCGACATCTTTTTTAGCCCGTTGCGCTTCCTTTTACTAGAAGTGGAGTTTTCAAGGCTGAACGCTGAGTGAGCGCAGTAAACCAACACACTCCGGCCATTGGCAGTTTTCGTGAATTTCATATTCGTGATTTTTTTAAAAATGAAAGTAGGTGTGGATTGTACATGAGCATCAGAGAATCCTTTTTGTCTTCCTTTACTGGAATGGCGATGAGTATCGGAGCTGATTTCTGTACCGCTGTTAACCCAAGTCGTTGCTCTGATGCAAAGGCCATGATGGCGGGGTTTCAGAGCACAGGTCAACAAGAAGACAACTTTCTTAAGAAAACAATAAGAAGTCACTTAGTTTACTGCGCATGTAATAGACACCGAAAGAGGAGTGAAACGAGGAAAGCAAGCTGTAGATGATATGTGCTTCTTTGAATCTTAGTGCAAACCAAATATTTCGTTTGCCTAGGCCTGTTCGTCCTTGTTAAGAAACTGCGGAAACGCTTATGCCCTGACTCTAAATGTGAAACTTGGAGTGGAGAAGTCGCTGTTTTGTTTAGTATAGAAGCTGCGTAATATGCGTGATACGTTAATTCGTGAAATAACTTTGCAACTAGTTTACTATAATTTTGAATTGAATCCTCAGTATCAGTTATGGAAAGAATTGTCATTTGATCACCCAAATTAGGTATTTGAGAAACTCGGTAAGATAAATTACAGTAATTCCTTGCTTGCACAAAGCAGCATTGTTCGATTCTTCCTTTGATGCTGAGTTTTGCAGTTTCATAATACTAACCTAGAGGTGTCATGTATTATGAAGACCTGGAATCATAGCATTACTGCAGTTTATTCTGTCATTTATATCTACTACATAGTTTGTGATTACCCTACTCCACAGTATTGGCTTTTTCTAAATAGCTTTCGATGGCCATCTCGTAAGACTTTCTGTTTCGACGTTTTGAGCACTTTATCCACCAGTGCATTTTTTTTCTTTAAATTCGTCAGATTTATGTTCTAGTTAAGATCATTTAAACACAGTGGTCATTTTTTGCTACGATGGATGGCCATATGGAATAACGGAGCTTGAAAGATGGGAAGCAAAACCAACATGATTTGGAAAGAAGGGAAGACAGAAGCAGTGCTAACGTTATTATCTAAATGGAGACTCTTCATATAAGCTCCGTTTTGCAATTGGTATATGTCAGTGTTCTTGGTGGTTACGCGGAATTTGAGTCCGACTCAATCCGAAATTTAATCGCTTCACCAATCGCTATACTGAATGCATTACGTCATAGACAACTGAACCTGATATGAACGCATTGAAATGACTCTTTTCGGGTCACCTAGAAATTCATGATACTGGAATATCTGTTCACTGCTCGTGTCTATAGGCTGCCTCCTATGAGTCGTATTTGTTCTGAGGGCTCATGTTCATTGGAGATCTGCTGAAAACTACAAACATTTTCTCATATTCCACAGAAGCTGTGTCGCATGGGCAAGGCAAACTTCTTATAATTTATAAATTTATGAGCTTTTATTCTTTTCCACAATTCCAATTTTACCTTCTAGCACAACATTTCTAAGTATTATAAAATAACTGCATCTTAACCACAACGACGCTGAGATATTCGCAGAAGTTGGACCTCGGACCAGGTCGAACCACGATTTCTCCTTCCCGGGGGCTCGTGCATTACCCACTGCGCCACGGAGGCTATTTGGACTGCGTTTTACTTCTATATTTACACTTTTTGCCCAATTTTTATAGCGATTTAGTAAGGCGACATCTTTGAGACATATGAGGTTGCATGAGTACGAAAATACAAATTAAACAAGTGCGCGGAAAATGATGAAATAAGCATTTCAGATTGACGGCGAGTTCCCACTATGGTCTTCAATGACACAAGGTGTCATACTGGGATCATTCTTCTATGGATATATTCTGACGCAAGTGTGTATCACTGAGGGAGAACATTTTATGAATTTGAATCTTATTCTTTATGTTCATTCTTATTTTAGCTCCCAGGTGGCATTCTTGCGCATCGTCATGGTGGAAAAAATTTGTTTGTTATTGGGGTTTTCGGTGAGTTGCATAATGTAAATTACAGAAAAGGTTTTATAGTGATTAATGAGCCCTGAATGGTTGTGCTCTGTTTTTTCCCTGACTACCCTACTTAAAGGTACTGCGGTTTTCACACTCCTCACTCCGCCGCTGGCAAAAGTTGGATACGGCGCTCTCGCTTTTGCTAGGTTTGTTGAAGGACTGTTTGAGGTGAGTATGCAGTCAGTCCACTGTTTTGATACTTCCTTCAAAACTGGCAGTTTTATGTTTCATGTTGACAAGAAGTTCTCATTTTTCGTAGTTTTCGAGGTTTAGAATTCCACCAAAGTAACAATGTCGCTGGAGAGTCGTGTGGAAAAAATCTTAAAAAAGGAGCTTAGTCGTGGAAATAGGAGTAGTTTAGGAAATTGGGAAAAAATGGCCATAGTTCAGATGAAGTTCAATATAATGTGCCTCTTTCAACATCTTCCGTAAATCTTACTATTTCACTTTAAAAAAAGGTCTCATGGTCTTTTGGCGTTACAGTCCTTTCTTGTCATTTTCATCACTAATACAATGGAACTCTCTAATTTTAAATTTAAGGGTGTAACCTATCCAGCGATGCATGTAATGTGGAGCCATTGGGCACCAATTCTTGAGAAGACAAAGCTGGCGACGTTTGCCTTCTCAGGTTCCTATTTCGGCACCGTGATCGCAATGCCATTATCCGCTGTCATTGGTCAAGCGCTTGGATGGCCCTTCATTTTCTACTTTTTCGGTCAGTTTTTGAGTAATTTAGCCACCAAATGATATAGCTGCTATTAACTCCTAATAATGTTGTATACATTGTAAATGATTACACTGGTATTCTACTGAACTGTAAAATTGGCACAGTTATCATATCTTACGTCTATTCCAAAAGTAGAGGTTGAGGAAACGTATATATGACGTTCCCATTCATTTGCAGGTTTACTAGCTGTACTTTGGTGTTTTGTTTGGATTAGAAAAGTTAGCGATTATCCTACCACCGATCCTCAAATCACCACCGATGAACTCACACTTCTTCAACGAGACGCTGTCGGTCATAGTCACTATGTACGTCTGATTTGTTCTCTAAGCTTAATATATCAAAGTTTGGTTACCTAATCATTGTTTTCAAATATTATTTTTGCCTCATTTCTTATCTCAGGAGTTTTCTAAGCTTTAAAAACTCATACTGTTTTGTTATCTTTAAGCTCCCAAGAACTTTAATTCAAATTGAACATAACAGTTTAAATCAAGACCGCACTGCACTGTATTGTATATACTATTGTGCTTTTTGGCATATGCTTTATGTGCAAGTAAGAAGTTTCGTGGATTTTTTTACATAACCCACCATCACATCTGTTGTGCGGATCCCCGTCTTCCATTCGATTCGTTTTCTTCGCATTCATCGTCCACGGTGGTCTTCGAACATTTCGCATCTTGTTTCTACTGCTGCTTGAGGAATTCTTACTTATGAATGTCCTAAAATGCAGATCGATTCTCCATGCCAGCTTGGATATAGCCGAGCTAAGGCGTTCCCATGTGGATTGGATGAGAACGTTGGGAGGATCGAACTAGTGCCTTTGCTTCATGATCGGCTGCATCACTAATCAATGCACTACTCCCTTTTTTTCTCGAAATCAAGTTTTCTTTTAAATTTGCATACTAAATCGTTCGGGGCCATGCGCATTGTATATATTCGCACCTGATCGAAAATAGCTATATCATTCACTTCCAAACAAACATGTTTCTGCTCATAGTGAACCTTATTGAATTAAATAAAAGCCATTAAGATTTGCAGATTTTTGCCGTTAAGGCACAATTTCCCTCACTTTAATATGACGGTCTTATAATTTTCTGAGCCGCATAAGGACTTTTTTTGGTTTTTTTGTCTCAGAGGCTCATATTTCAAGGATGAAATTGATTAAAGAAATGACGTTTGGTCCCACATGAAAGGCTGATATTGGCCAATGTATCACTGGGTCTTGCAGCTGTCGCGCTTGTTAGAAGTTTTCTTTTTTTTTATTTTGCATGGCCCGTCTCCATTCTACTCTGCGAACACCAGCACTTCTTGCATTCGATTCGCTTCCTTGTGTCCATCATCCATGAAAATTTTCCGATTTTTTGCATGTGGGTTTGGCTACAGCATAAGGATTACTGTCTGTGTTAAGAATGTCGTTGAACGCTGGTCGATTCGATTCTTCTTGGAATACTTGGGTGAGCCGCGCTAGAGTGTTTCGATGTGGATTACAATGTGTAAGCTGATCGAAGAAAAGTTTGGTGTCCCGATGCTGGAAGCATAGGAGGCTTTCTGAGCACGGAGTGTAGTCGAATTAGCACCGTGCTGTGTTTAACATCATAACTACCGTTGCGCTAGCCGCTCTTGGAAATTTGGATTGTAAATTATGGAAGGGAATTCAAATTTCGTTTCCAGTTTCCTTCGAGAGTTTCAACTACACACCAATTTAAAGTTGAGAGAGTGTTTTGCAAAAATTAAATGTTCCTTTAAGGCGGTAGAAATGTTCTATGGAAAGAAATTTTCATTTTTTGTTGAAAAGCCGGCACAGTGGCTTAGTGCTTAGAGAAACACAGGGCTTAGATAATGTTGCGGAAAGTTGTACACAAATACTTATATTTATATATCCATATCAAACCATTAGAGTGAAGAGGCTAAGCATGTTCTGTAAGTTTGTTCGGTTATAAACTCCTCAAGTGCTCTAGTTATCGACAGATTATTGGCATTGATGAAGTTGTCATTCAGCATTGTTGAGAGTGCCTGCTATGCGATACAACGATTGCGAACAACTGAGGGATGTTAGAGGTGTCGTGGTCTTCATCTTGGACTCACTCAAACTATCTGTGCATAGGGATAGCAAAGCATGTGGTGAAGTAAAATTACTATCTGTACATCTTAGTGCATATAAATTAAACATATAGTAGTAAGTTACCATCAAAAATCAGAGTGAGAATTTCGCATTAGATTTAGTATAGCATATTTAAGACACAGAACTGCATCTATTTAGGAATGTTTTCTGATGTCAGGTATCAAATTTCGACGGTGAAGGAACCGCAGCTATTTTTTTTTGCCATGCCAGTATTTTTGTAATCTGTGGTCCTGATAATTATTAAGTGACTATATCGAGCTTTATTAAGTCTACATTCGTTGCTATCACTTGGCGGGGCCATATAATGGGATCTGCTAGTCTGAGGCATGACATTTTTCACGATCATTTATTTTTACTGTGTTTCATGAGAGGATAGCAAGAAGTAGCTCTCAGTGTTCTGTCGAGAGAGTGAGCTTCATAACAAATAGCTCACTGGGCGTTCCTAGAATAGGCAGTTTTTTCTTGAAGTTAACAATGACTGCTTCCTACATATTAATCATTGGACATTTCGTGCTCCTGAAATATCGGAACTCTCACTCGCTTACCGACTTTAGCCGTTAGCTTCAGTTGAATAGATAAGAAATGGAGGGTAGAAGAATCTAAAAGCTCGGAATGCAGACCTCTAGAACAATAGAGAAATTCGCTGGTCTCTGCTGAAATGTGGTGCCTGAAGGTCATCGCACTTTTGATGTTATGCCCATTCCTTACTGTTTTTAGCGCTACGTTAATCTCGGGTAGTTCACCAGAGTGTGTCATACATAGGTTTACTAAGGGTTTCCACTATAAAATGTCTGAATCTTTCTGATCCTGGATGATCCTGTTGTTGTGACGATTCGGTACCTATGAACACAGCCGCGATGAAGTAAAGCATCGAGGTTACGTACCCTCAGATATAAATGAACACTGGATTGAAGGTAATTGCTCGTCCTTCCTTCATTCAATGTGACGCTACACCATGAATAAGAGTTCTAGTGATGAAATAGCGGGTTAGTCGTTTGTATTTCTTTGTCAGATACACTAGACAAAACGTTAATTGTGAAATAAAATGTCGTTTGTTGTTTTTAAAACAATAGATTCGGAATTTTCCATTTTAAAACTAAGAAATATTCACTGTTTTGGTCACTTATTCCATAAAGAGAGAAAGCAATTCTTTCTGTTGTCAGAGCAAGGGAATGAAACCTTATGAAAATTATTCTGTAAACGACGTTGAGTGACGTTCGAGTTGACACATTATGGCGACCACATTACATCGCATACAATACTGTATCTTCTTTCTAGCTTTCTTTCACTTTCAAGGTCTGGTATTTTACGGAATGATGACCCTTTCATTTACTCCCGTGTTCAAAATCCATTGTTTATGGAGTGAGAAATGAAGCGCCTAAGAGATTTATTCTAAAGCAGCATGTTTTTACAAATGCAGCTGTTTCTGCTATGATAAACAATCGCTAAAATATTGCGATTTTTAGTGGATTTTGAGGTATTTCTTGTGTGTTTAGATCCATTTTCCTCTAAACACTGCTGATTCTGAAGCACCGAGATCCGGTTTATTATATTCTGAACAGTTTAGACCTTAACATATCCTAGAACAATAAACAATCCATTTTTTTTCCCAAAAGATTGTGATTATAACTAAGCCTCAGCTTAACTGGGTTCAATGCCGATTTGGGCTCTCCAGATTAATCCCGCTGACGAGTGATTGCTGATGGCAAAAGATCGATAGAACTAGCTGAGAGACAGGCAAAGCGAAGGACCCGGACGGTGTGGTGGTGAAGTGCGCTACTCCTCGGTAAGGACAATAGTGCGCGTTCGTTCCCCACCGCATACACCTGCAGTCCGTAGTTTTGCAAATATCTCAGCATTATACACGAGTTGTGTTGATATCAATTCATTCTGGTCGATCTGTTCCACATATGAGGCGATGATCAACGTGCGTAAATGCAAAACACCAAAGCGGGTGTCTCTAGGACATTTGCGGCATTCTTTGAATGCTTCCCTTATACACTGAATGCCACTATACCAGGGGACTGTTGTATTATGATACATGTTATTTTACAAGAGTGAATCATGATGTCTTAGCGATTGTATCTATGGTTGATACAAAAACTGTTGAACTGTTTTGTTGCGTTTTTGGAAAAAAGTGCAAAGTTTGTCTTTGTGTCCAGTCGCTAACACAACTAATGGGATATCTTTTTTCACTTCTTGGTTTGTTTACAATTTTTCACTTCAATTTTAGATCGTACCATGGGCCGAAATGTTGAAGAGCAAACCGGTATGGGCAGTAGTGGTCGCGCATTTCTGTCAGAATTGGGGATTCTATACAATGCTTACAAATTTGCCGAGAATTCTGAAAGAACTCGCGAACTATGAGTTAGAAAAGGTGAGCCAGAGTCATTGTCAAGAGTTATACTATGCGATTTGGTCTCAGACATATTCCTCTGTTTTAATATATCTTCAATGTTGTAAAATGAGCGTTTCAAGTGTTTAAGTAAAATCACTATTTCAACTTATTATTTACTCCCTACACTTTTCGATGGCAGGATATATTGCGAAGTATAACTTCAATGATGCTGAGATATTTGCAAAACTCCGGATCGCAGGTGTCTGCGATGTGGGGAACGAACGCGCTATTACCCTCTCCGGGGCCTAACGTGTTCACCACCGCACCATGCAGATCCTTCAATCTCGTTGACAGGTGATTGTTGATGACATTGGTCGATAGAACTTTCTGAGAGACAAGCGAAACGAAGGACCCGCATGGTGTGGTGGTGAACGCGTTAGTCCCCGGAAAGGGTAATAGCGCGTTTGTTCTCCACCGCAGACAGGTGCGGTCCGGTGTTTTGAAAATCTTTCAGCATCGTAGAAGTTATTTCAGTAAATTTTTGTGAAGAAGTGCGTGTCTGTCGTATTACAAATAGATATTCTACGGTTAGAGGAAATTCGCAATAACATTTACTTTCTCAGTTTAGCTAAGAGTAATAAGGAGTGGAAGCAACAACACGCTATTTGCCATCCTTTTCTCTTTATCAGCTCTTTGTACACCGAGTTCTGTAGGCGTGCTAAGATGCGTTCCTCTAGTTCATCTCAAGGTTGTTCGTTGAGGTGCATGTGTATTTACACGCTGCTTTCGCGGAAGCCATAAGAATCTACAAAAGCCTGAAAATTGAAAGGCGTTGCGGGAAATGAATTTTTTTTGGAGTGATCGTTTGATGGTAAAAAGGGCTATCATTATAGAGTAACGAGCAAAGGGTGAATAGTAAATGTTGTGTATTAGGTGTTGTGTATTTGGCTTCAGCAACAGTAAATTTTTTTTCCTGAAGCATACACCAGGACAGGAAGAATGAGGAGTGTATAAAAAGCAATAATAGGTCGAATAAAGTAGATCCAACAATTTTTTTAAAGGCCGGATTTGTGTCCGGATTGCCGTATTTGATGATGGGATGTACGCTGGTATGGGGTGGGCAGCTGGCCGACTATCTCCGAAAAGAGTGTAATATCGACACATTGATTGTACGAAGACGCTTCTGCGCAGCAGGTGTGATTTTTTCATCATTGACCTGTTTATTATTGTTTTCACTAGAAGCATATTCGTAAAACTTATATGTGAAGGGTTAAACGAATGAACTACTCGCCTAATCCCTTGAGCAAAGCTTGTTACTTTACAGATACATATGTTAGGTTATCAAAGTGTAAATATTTACTAATATTTCTTTTCAATTCAGGATTCGCAGGACAAGCACTATTCCTTGCCCTGGCATCCGTTACATCATCGCCTCCGCTGCTCGTCGCTTATCTTACAGTGTCCATAGGATTAGGAGGTATCTGTTGGGCCGGCTTTTCTGTGAATCATCTCGATCTTGCACCACAGGTATCATAAATGAGTTCATTTTCTGTCACTGCTCCAATGATTTTTTTAAAAAATAGTTTGCTGGTCATTTGATGGGAATTTCAAACACACTAGCAACGCTACCAGGCATGTTATGCCCCTTGATTGTAGGATACGTTGTAACAAGTGGAGTAAGTTTCTTATCACTAATAAATTTCTTTCGTTGCTAGAACGTTTGTGGAGTATGTTCGACTTTCAGACTACACTTGAATGGAACATAGTTTTCTACTCAACGGCTGTTGTATACGGCTTTGGAGGCGCATTCTTCTGGAAATACGCATCTGGCGAGTTGCAACTATGGGCAGGAGAGCAAGCTCCGTTCGTTGGTGAACTACATTGAATTGAAGATCTCTTTTGTTATAATGCATTGTCAAATGTTGACAAATTCGAAAATGAAGCATCTTTTGCAAACGCCTGAAAATGTTTAAAAACGAAGAAAAATATGATGAATGGTCGTGTGCATAATGAAAAGAAAAAATGATGCGTAGGTATTAGACGAACAAAAACTAGCCGTGGGAAGTGGGCGCGCTGCAGCCGTATCGCGCGTTGGGCTGGGTGAATGGCTACCGCGGTCCTACGTGTTGCCATTGTTTAGGCCTACCGCGGTCGTCGAATCACCTGGGCCTTACATGACCATTCAAAGCACGGGAATATGGGCAGGATAATAAGGATTTAATGCGCGGAATGAAACGAAATAGCGTGATGTGACCGCGAGTGCGCCCTACTGTACGAGATAACGAGACGAAGCGTTGAACATTCGCTACGTTGCACAGTCGCGTCGCTCCCACAGCGACTGAAATTGCTCTTGAAGGGCAGTGGTTTAAGCAGCGGTGAGTTCCTCCTGAGCTCCGGTTGTGATGAGATGAGCGAATGCTTTGTAGTCGACCTCGCCGTTTTCGATTGGAGGCTTTCCCTAAGTGACAAAGTCGGAATATGAAAACTGAGTGATATGCTCATAAGGTTTTATAACGAAGAACATATACGGGGCATACCTTGTACATAGCCTTAATTTCATCTTCATCAAGTGGGTCTCCTCGCTTATTCTGAAGAATTTTTATTAAATCATCTTCTTTGATTTTTCCACAGTCCTTTTTGTCGAACATTGCAAAGGCACCAATAATAGAGGACTCAGGATCAGTTCCTATATAGATGCATTTATGTATCTGTAATTGTCAAAGACAGAAGTAAATCAATCGCAGTCGTTTTCTCACCTGTCAACCGCTCTCCGAACAGCGTGAGGAAGACAGTGAAATTGATCGGTCCGGGAGCTTCCTTGATCATGTCCTCGATTTGCTTTTCGGAAGCAATTTGCCCCATTGTGGCATAGAGATCCTTAAGATCCCCCTGAAGACTAAGTAATCACTTTAAGTTGAAGTGCAAACAAAAGAGTTGTCATGTTGAAATTCACACGCCTTGTCAATAATTCCGTCCTTGTTCTGATCCATGATTCCGAAAGCTTCCTTGAACTCATTGATTGTCTTCTGGTCGAACTGAGTTGTCTCAGTTCCAGATCTCTTTTTCCCTGATTTTTTCTTTGTAGACTTTGACTGCAAATTATTATCGTAACAGTGAATAACCGCGTTAAAGGAAATGTGTTGGAGTACGGATATCTTTACGGATAGAATTTCCACACAAATAATTATGCATGTTCTAGCTAAATTTTCACACAACTAGTATTTTGCTGTTTTCGAAAGGTTCTTTTTCTGAATTCCCAAGAAAAAGATACATACCGGCCCATGTTTAGATCGTCGCCACAAATAGTTGTCGGTGCTTCTATGTAAGGAATATTTGCCGTCCAATGATTGAGTTTCATTCAGGGATTCACTGTGTAAGTTTACCCTTAGCTAAGGCTCAGATGGAACACCTTAGTTTAAAGCGACACTGGCTGAGGATGAACTCGGTGATGTACGTCACAGTTCGACATCGAAGAACCTTGTGTTGTGGCACTGAGCAATGTAGGGTACAATTTAGGAAGCGCCGGAACATTCGCTATAAATTCGATGGTACTGAATACGGAGCTTTTAGACATCAACAAAATATTTAGATTAAATAGTGATATTATCTGAGGAACATGCAAGGGATAGCCCACTCATCGTAGATATTACGAATGGCCGGTGTCTCATACGTAATGGCTGACTGAAAAGATCTTAATAGGAATAAAGTACAACTCACCATTCTGTGTGACTGTCAGCAGCCCAGAGTGAGTGCGTCGGTGGAGGCAGCACCCGATCCTAGTTACACCACGGGGAGGAAGAGACTCTGAGAGCTATTTTAGCTGTGATTCTCAACAACTTTACAGCATTGCCACGCCCTCAGTTCCCAGACGCCTACGGTCGCACATCGAGGCTGTACGTCGTTAAATCGCAAGGCATATCGCCCGCTATCAGACATTCGCTACCCTGGATTAGTGCATGATGCGCACATCTAAGTATATTTTGTCACCTATTTATCTATCAGCTTCTCACAGGCCATTGAAGATTGTAGTAGTTTTCCACTAACTGTCGATGATTTTCGACTAACTGGAAAAGTTGAGATTTCGAGGAGTTGACAACAGACTAAGAAAAGAGGCATTTCTCTATTTCCCTGAATCATAAGTAAGTCCTTGAACATTGGCTTCATTTCAAAGCTTTTAAATCTACACATAAGAGGGTACTGATGAAGCATTTCCCGACTTTTTTTTAACGTGAATATAGCACTATATCCATTTACACGAAATCCAACTTGTTCAATGTTTGTTGCTACAAAAAAGGGCCTCAGCGGTAAATCACAAGGAGCAACGATCCATAGATTTCTCTAGCCTAGGATTTTATCACGATGGTACAATCAAATTTAGGTCTTCCTGGGAAAGAATGAACTGCTATCAGTGCTTATTAAATGAAGCGGTAAAATTCGGCATTAGCTGAAAAATGTGCATTTTAAGTCCATGTTTTTTTTGTATAACTTCAGTTCCTTTATTCTCTCATCCTGAACGAAGTCAGCATTCCCGCAATATCTGTATGAGTGACTAAAGAGTTCACATCACCTGTTCTTGTATTTATCATTAGAAATCGTGAAGCGAATGATTTGTTTCACCAAGAGTTCAAAAATCGTCAGCTTAATGTAAATAGAAAACCCACCAAGATGTCAACTGAACACATCTGGAGCTCGTCAGTAAGAATGACACTTTTCGCGTTTTTGTTATCGACATACGACTCAATTTCACAATGTTTAGCCACGATTAAACTAATATTTGACAAACTAGTCAGTATTCTGGATTTGTTTTCTTTGCCTCCGATTGACGCTCATATCCTCCTACGACAATCAATTCAACATTTGCAATACAGGGAAGAAAAACTGAGTGATTCCTGCAGCTACCATCGAAGATACTTGGATAATTTCACTAAATATCGTCACCTTGTTTTGATTGGTGATTTGGGCCTCATTATAAAAACCATTCATTTCGTTCGGTCACGACAGTTGCTTATTGTCTGTCTCCTTTATATTGGCGTATGTGAGCTTCAGTTCTTGGTCAATTTTTGCTCACTAAAAACCACTGTTGTTTTTAAAATAATGTGGAATAAATAGGTTCATACATTTTATAGATATTCTCCCGCAATGATGTTTTCATTCTCTTAGGGTACACTACAATGTTCTTCTCATTGGTCTATCATCTCGACGTTGACTAAACATGAGGAGACAAGTATGCTTTGCCTTAGACCCGAGTTCATCTCAAATGAATTCTATAGCATTCTGCTTAATCTTCTCAATAGATCTGAGATTTCATTGCATTGATCGATTGCAACATCGTCATTTTGTTCGTCTTTCTACCTACAAAGACCTAATGAAGAAGAATTCTTTGATAAATTTATGCAACGACCCTGCCTACTCTATACATGAACTGTTTAAGAAGCGAAATCCCGAGGTTTCTATCAGCTCTCGAATCAAATATAAATAAATCAAACGAAGGCATTTTATTCCGAATCATAGCATATTCTATCATTCAGCAGATCTTCAAAGTAGTGCTCGTTTACAGCTTTCAAACTGAGCATGAAACTGAAACAACCACCGTCATATTTCTGTTGTATGGATATTTGGAAGTATTTTTGTTATGGCTTTGCAGGACCTCTTGAAAAGACAAGTATTTGTGAAATATTTTGTAATTCTAATTATTGCGAAGAAGGCGGATAGCACAGTAGTAGCTATGTCTATTATCATGAGCATGGTGCTAGTTCGATCCCGCTCCGGGCCAACTCTCATCACTCCGGGGTCGGGAAATTGGTACCGGACTTGTCTGGAAAAAAACCACTTCCAACAATCCAATTGGAAGCGCTCCAGCCCGGCTATCAGAGGACTCCAGGGAGAATTGTTCGACCAGCATTCTACGACATTCAAGATGAAATTGAAATCCTCAAGCAGCAATCGAAGCCACGCGTAAAAGTTGGAAGATCTTTGTGAAGAATGGAGGCGAGAAAACGAATCGAATGTGAGAAGTGCTGGGATCCACACCGTAGACGTGAAGACGGATCAAACAAAATTTAAAAAATGGTAAACTGTTGCGAATACAGAGAGTACTCAACGTTCATAATGAAGTTCTGACATCTGACACAACCAAGAAATCACCACGCTGTATTCCTCCAGTGAAGATAAAGATCTTCACTTTATGATTTTTTTTGTGAATCTCTAAACGTTTCTATTTCATCTCACAATTACAGTGTCAAATCAAATTTCGCAGTGATACGCTAACTCACTCCTTACACCAATAATAGATAAGAATAACAAAGACTTCTAAGTTGTAATGTTGCCAATATGCTTGATTTTGTTTATAACGCGTTTTTTTACCTGTTTCTATCAGGTGTCATTAAGGAGCGATTGTATATCACACTTTATTATGACATTGCATTACATGACATTAAACATCAAAGCCAACATGCATATCTCCATGTTTTCTAAGCGATAAAGTCTTTACATCATCTTACTGCAAGCTGAGTGTTCATCGTTCTTAGAACTGTTTTACTTTCTAGATTCCTGATAGTCGTCGTTTAGTCTAGTGCTTAGCTGTAGTTGTTCTCTCTATTCCTATCGTACGAGTCACAAACTGAGCGATTGCGATTCGTCGTATGTTTGCGGATTCCGGTTATCTCAACGGGCAAAAATTGAAGGATGTTACAGCAGCGTTCACGGCCCCCCTTTTTGCCAACCTCAAGCTCTTGCCTCTGCTCTAGCACACTCTTCATATCCGTCATTTATTGATTACACCGCTTATATTTCATCAAGTCTTTTGCTTACTCAACTACTTCATCTTCTTATGTGTTTAACATCTTGATCAATCCCTTTAACTTCTTGATTAAAGTAATCGAACTATAAGAAAAGTTCCCGAATAGCAGCTCAAGGTTACTTATCTCGAAAGATATTTCCAGGCTTCTTACTTGGTAGCGAACCAGCAGTCTACAATGGTTAGTTCTGGTCATAACAAGGTTCGATTTCAAGAATGATAGTGTCACGTTTACGATTAATTGCAGTCGAAGGCAGCGAAGAAGAAGTCAAGTAAGAAGAGATCCGGATCTGAGGCAACTCAGTTCGACCAAAAAACGATCAATGAGTTCAAGGAGGCTTTCGGAATCATGGACCAGAACAAAGATGGGATCATTGACAAGGTGTGTAGTTTGCTGAGATACCGCTATACAACTCATCCATTCGTAGTTCTAATAAACGTGAAAGAGTACTGTCGTTCAGGGTGATCTCAAGGATCTCTATGCCACAATGGGGCAAATTGCTTCTGATAAGCAAATTGAGGACATGATCAAGGAGGCCCCTGGACCGATCAATTTCACCGTCTTCCTCACACTATTTGGGGAACGATTGACAGGTTAGAAAACGACTGCTAATGCCATATTTCAGTTCCTAATATTTGTGATTCCATGAATTTTTCTATAAAGGGACTGATCCCGAGTCCACTATTGTCGGTGCCTTTGCGATGTTCGACAAAAAGGACTGTGGAAAGATCAAAGAGGAGGAATTAATAAAGATCCTCCAAAATAAGCGAGGAGAGCCACTCGATGAAGATGAAATCAAGGCTATGTACAAGGCAAGTCTACTTTGTGTTCTTCGTGACATATCCTCACTTATGATGAATATATCACTTGAGTTTCATATTCTGATTTTGCCACTCAGGGTAAGCCTCCAATCGAAAACGGCGAGGTCGACTACAAAGCATTTGCTCATCTCATCACCACCGGAGCTCAAGACGAACTCGCAGCTGCATAAAAGTGTTCTACTTTATTATTCCCACTCTGTTGAAAAGGCATCAATATTGCTCTCTTACAGTCAAACCGATGACTATAGCAGACGATTTGAAATAAGGAAAAATCTTTATGCTTAATAATACAGTTAGTTATTCTCGCTAAAAAACCAATAAGTATGTGTGGTGCAGGACCTACATAGTTTCCTGATTATAAAAATATGTCGAATAAATCTGAACATACATGATTGTGTGGTTGACCACATTTTTTTAACGTATTTCAAAAGTTGTGTAAAACTTGAAGAAATCTGATAAGAGCTTACAAGCGCTTTGTAATTTATGTTCATTCAACAGCGATGGTGATGACGCAATTCTTTTTCGCACAAAATGTTTTCGCCGAAAGTCTAGTTAAACATGGTTTTCGTTATGTTTTCTTTGAGATGGACAGTATAAGGTGCCAACAACTTGAAGCACTGGGAAATCATTTTGGTACAATTATTGCAACAGTTTATGATAAGGCATGAAGAAGTTTGCTGCAAATGATGCAGGTATTTGGCTCAGAAAGGCGCGTGGTAGAACTGGATGCATATCTTGCTTAATTATTCTGCTGGTATTCTGAAAATGTTTATGAAAAGACCTAACGATTGTGAATAAAAGGCTTAAATGACTCTCCTTCTACCACTGAGCACTCAAGGGCTTGATTGGTAAAGCTGCTATTTCAACCCCACGATATTTTCAATATTTTACTACAATATATTTTTGCCAGTATCAAAAGCGGCTGGTTGTCTTCGTCACCCTCTCCTTCTTTTTTTAATAGTCTTATATTCTTTCATCAAATATTTTGAGTCCAGATATCAATGCATGTTTAATTGTACCTCTAGCTCAACGACCTATATATATCACTGTGGTCGTTGATAAATTCTGAGCCTTCATAAGCAAACCAGACGGCGTGCTGATTTTGTTTCATTAATTTTTCTCCTACCATGCAGAAGTGGAGCGCCTAGAATGAAATCACAACGCATGGAACCTTTCAACAATGCCAAGCGGCTCTGATAAGGTGGAGGTCCTTAGCACTGAAACCACAATAAAAATTCTTCATAGCAACCTCTTTCAACCTTATCAGTACAACGAATGAAAAGGATAAAGAACTCGGCGTTGATGAATCCCGGAGGCATGCTGCATGCATTCGAGTTCGTTACGCCTCGTTGGAGGTGACTGAATGCATATCTGGCGCGTCGAGTCAGTCCAGCTCTCTTTCCAGAGAAGTGCGGCACCAATTTTCCGAGGAATGGAAGGCTTAGTGACCCTCGGGCGCAGGATCGATCCATGTATATTGCTCGACGCCTCTAACCATTGTGCTACACTCCACCTCAGTACAACGAAATAATTATTATTCATTTCTACGATAAAGAACTACTGCTTTTCAAAAATCTCATAATCATTTTCAATAGGCAGTGACCTGGTCTTAGTTTAGAACCCATCAGATTGATTTCTTAGATTATCTTCGTATTAAAAGTTTCATCAACAAACTTATTCATGATGCAGTCTTCGCGGTAGAACTGATAGATCGCGTTTTTCTACGTAATATGTCAGTGTTACAGTATAAGATTGTTAAGTAATTTAAATGTTAAGTAATAAAGTAAGTTGATCCATTTTTTTCTCGGCCGGCTAACTGTCATTGTTTAGCTCGCGAGCAAGTGGAATTCCATGGGGATGCTCATACTAACTAGAATTTCAAGTGCACTACTTACTTCATTGGTGCAGATTTTGAAAGTTCTTTTTTGTTTCAGAAATAGAGTAGAGAGCAGGACGATACCCCGCTTTTCTCAAATTTAATAGCCTGATTCGGTCGTTAGATATTGATGTTGTGTCTTACTGACTTTCATTTACTAACGCTGCCATCATCTCAAGAAAGGCTATGACACAGCCATTTTGATTCGCTAAGGCACAAACTCACTTAATAGTGGCTAATCGGGGTCTGCCGATAGTAAAAACATGGGGCGTACTTGAGGAAAATTTGAAATTCAATTTTGTATGCTCGTCAATATTAAGCAAAATCTCGATCTTCTAATAGATTATCGAAACATCTTAATGGACCGCCTGAATCCAATGGACATTCTTTCCACCTGCATATTTTGCTACAGATATTTTCATTTTGTGCAACTAACAAATTTCGATAACTATTTATCTGACGTGTTTATTCGACTGATTTCAATTCCGTAGAGGATATGGATAAGAAATAAAGCCCTTGTCATTTGTCAATTCCTGAGCAATGCGCCATGCACTCGATTTGATCGAGCATCGTCAGAGCAAATTGAATCATATCTGGCCTGTACAATAACTCGCGGTGGTCTGCCGAAGTGACAAGTTAATAACTTTTATCTGAAAGTGCAAAGCTCTGAACCTGTTCATCTGTTTAACCATTTCCCATGAATCATCCATTTCTTAATCGTTTTGGTCTCCCTGGTCTCTATAATCAAATTACAAACATCAGTTATAAACAATTCATAAAAACATACTGGTTCTTTTCATCCAAGTAAAAGTAACTGACACCATCTAAAATATCACAGGAAATTCAAAGGTAATGTAGCCTCACACTGTTTGCCCACTCATCGCCGACTCAATACCGACTACCTCGTTGGCATCATGCTTCTTATCCTCCAAAACAGTTGCTGTGCATTATCGACGAGTTGCACGGGAAGTTCCATCGCCTTAGTTTTCATTAATAGCAATTAAATATGAAGTTTGATCCGTTCATTTTGAATGTAGTTCAAGCCCATAAAAATATATTTGTGATCGGTATTTGGTTGTTTTCTTTTCCAATAGCTATGATGATCCATTCTCCCAACGGTTTACAGCCTTAGCGCGGCTAGTAAGCGTTCCTGGATGTCGAGTTGCGATGTACTGCGGGAGAATTTTTCCCCCAGCAAGGTCTTCCAAGCTGGAAAGAAGTCCACCGTTTCCATAATGAAGCCCAGCTAAGGAAGCTATAAATAGTAGGATCCACCACCGTTATGGTATCAAACTAGACGCATGGTGGCAAATCTCCCTTTAATCCACAAAGACGGTGACTGCCTGTGATGGTGGTGGTGATGACGAACTGGAGCAGATTTCGGCTGACCGATTGGCTGACGTCGAGACCCCAGAAAACCATAATAGCTAAACCAACAAAACTTCGGAAAAAACGGAAATTATACTTGGGCCCGCACAACTAGAGAAAACTGGTCATCCAAGTATCAAAACATGATGATCCCTAATTATGGTGTGCTATGGATCGGTCTATATGGAAAAAAGACACTGAAATATGCTTTCCACATTATAGGAAGCATTACGAAAAGCTGATAGCAATGTGGTTGAATGGTGGACGAAATTTCCTTTTCGTCACACAAATGTTGAACATGTTTCAAAAAAGGAATGAGAGCATTGAAGGATGTAGGAAAACTCGCGGAACATAAATACCAAAGAAATGATGGTGAAGTGGAGTGGGAAAGTCGTATTATCAAGCGATAAGCACAATAAAAGGCGCGGTTATCCTTGGAATCCAAAATTAACCAAACGCATTGATTTCAACGCATATTGCGCTTGATGAGAAAGCAAAAGTGGCCAGATGCGGTCGTCACACAAAACAGGTTTAGCCATTTATTTATTAAGAATGTTCTTAATGCATTTTCACGTAAATGCAGGTACATATAGAGGGTGGCGAAATAAACCCCACATATATTTTCGATGATCGTAGAGGGACTCATAGACACATCAGAATACAACTAAGTGTAAATCAAAGCCAGTAAGTATAGAATCGTTTCTTGACATATCTGTATTATAAAAAAATCAGAGGTGTTTCTTTTCTTCCAAAATGTTAATCAGTTCGTTGCAGACCAGAGTCGTTCAGCACGTCGGTATCAATCTCTGTATTTTGGTAAAAGAATGGGCTAGATGGAAATTCAGATTTCCTTTGCAATTTGCTGCTAGTTCCTATAGTACTGGTTTTCCAAAGCAGAACTTATGGAAATTTCTAGGCTTTTTACAATGCCCTTCTTGGATCCTGTGTTTCAGGCTTAATTCAAAAGTGTCTTAGCACTATATCTTAATCTTTGCATCTCTGGTAGAATTTTGCTGAAAATTTCACTCTACAAAAACAAATCCACTTCGATTATTCATTAAATGAAAACATTTGCATCTGTAATAAGTGGGTTTGATGTGGAACGGCTAGCATATGGCTAAATTTAGCCTTAGTCCTAAACCACCATCAGGCGTAGTTCCATATGTCGACATTTTGTAGTGCAGCAAGTAATCCACTTTATTCTTGTCGAAACTTTAATAGTATTTAGTGGACAGCATTTTAAGATGAAGTCAGTTACGTAAGGTCTAGAACAGTGAAGGAAAATAATAATTAAACGAAAAATTAAAGAAATAATCAGAAGAGCCTGGAACAAATCCGATTTGGTTACAGGCCACTCTTCTAAGCCTGCTTTCAAAGTGTTTTTTTTTCATGAAAATCTTTTAGACGTTATTCACCCTTCATTTTCTAAAAATAACGCAACACTTACACCACCTGTATCATGTATTCCTCGCTAATCGTCGAGTAACTACTGCTGGTGCCAGTAAAGCCTCCATTTTTCCCTGTCACGTGCAAGAGTAGTCCAGTGCGTTCTGCTCACTCTAGGGACTCGTCGAACATCATATTTATTCTGTAGCGCTTTCGTGAATAACTTGGACCACCGGCTCGGTGGTCTCCCTGCAGTACGCTTGATATCCAGAGGATTCAAGCCGTTGTCGTAGTGTCGTCCAGACACATCACCTGTCCGACCCACGTGATTTTCGACGTTTTAGCACGCACAACAGCGTCTGCAATCATTGATCGTTGACATAGGTCTGAGCATATAATTTTCTCTCTCATTTGTGTAATACGGTATAAGCCTAGCTTCTCCCTTTCACACAGTGTTTGGAATTTGTCCAAGTACGGAAGTCACTAGTGTTAACAATGTCTTTGAAGATACCACGCCAACCAGCTGGATACGATTCCCTA